GGGGGGGGGGGGGGGGGGGGGGGGGGGGGGGGGGGAAGTTTCCCACGGCGTTTACATTTTGAAAAGGAAGGAAGAGACCACTTCTGCCATTTATTCTGCTCCTCCTTCCACAACCTACTCTTCCCTGCTGGGAAACATCCTGTTCTACATTTTAATTCCTGAGATTGAAGAGTGATCTCACATGCAGACGGGGAAGAACACTTCTGTTTCCTTAATGTCAGCCTACTAACTGTGGGACTGAGCAGCCCCACAATTCATTTGCTTTTTAAAGTGAGTGAGTTTCACCCCTTCCCTGGATGATGGCAAAGCCTGGAACCAGCTTTCTGTTAGCAGGTTGTGCTGTTTAGGAAAGATGCAAGGCAGGAAAGAAAAAGGAGTCTTGTGTTTTCTTTCATTTACATTCAAGGTCTTACAGCGTAACTACCACTCTTCTTCCAGTGAGGAAAAGACAGAATTCATCGGTTTTGCTTCTCAAGTGGCTCAATTTAGCTGCTTTTTTTTTTTATTTTTTCAGTCTTCCACATGGAACACCATTAATGAACAGCAATACACACTTAAGAGATCACAAAAGGAAGGGAGAGCTATTAAAATACATTATCTACAAGAAATGGGTGGTTTCTTTTACAAATTCTGTGCAAGATAGAAATAGTTCAATGGCCTCAAAGTCAGTATAATTAATAGCAACTGGGGCTTCAATACAGTGATATTTTAGGTTCGAAAAGTTTTGTGTTTGTTAGCTAGGCCCCAAATCCTGAGTCATATTAAGCAAAACGTGAGTCTGAGTGATTGCTGTCAGTGCTCAAGTACAATGAGTTACAGGTCAGATGTTCGTGAATACACAGGAGAAGCTTGAGAGTAGGAAAGATTTTAAAATTGGCTATAAAAGAAGAAAATGGGAGGGTTTTTTTCCTATTAACCCTGCATTCTAGCTGGCACTAATTTGCCTCAGAAGTCCTTGGCAGCTTTAGTAAATACCTACTCCCAGTTATAAATGCTATGACCTAGATGAGGATTTGTAGGTAGAATACTGCTACAGAAAGATTTATTTTCTTTTACAGGATTCCCCTCAGACTATTTCACTGTATGTCAGTAAGATGCACCATATATATGGCTTGAAACACTACTTTAGGAATATACAAACTACATTCTCTTGCATGCACTTCTCTGAAGGTTTTCAGGATCAAGTCTGAGAAAAGAAGTAATCTTTCCACACCAGTAAGATTATTTTAAGCAAAAAAAACCAACCAACAAACCACCATGACCTTTGTAGAAATTGAGTTATGCCACTCTTGCTGTGGTAGACATGGCTTATCGGGAGGAAACATGCTGGGTTAATTTAAAGGGGTTTTTTTGCTGGATCTGGAAGAGTGAGAGTTTCTGGAGCAGACTTTTTGCGAGGCCGGTCTTTGGGAACTGTTAGGAATTCAGGAGCATCTGTGGAGAGAGGAGTTGATGGAGCACTAGATGGAGCACTGCGGGTTGAAGAAGGCATGGAAATGTTAGAGATAGATATTGCAGGTGGGAAAATCCCAATCTTCTTGTTGGTAGCTTCCTGAGTTGCTCGTTCAAACTCTCGGACTTCATCCATTGTCATGTCTTCAACAAGAAGGGAAGAAAGATAAAGGCACGTTAGAATCACCTCCAATGATCATTTCATGAACTCAGTTAAACTGCTTCCATCCAAATTCTACATCAGGGAATGACTGCTTATCATGCATCTCATTAAGTGATTCTCCACACCAGTGCCCTCCTACTGTACTGCACTGATCGGAGCACAATAAGCAGCAACCGTCAAGGAAACAAAGTTAAGTACAGTCATCACTATGATCCTTCTACCTGGCTCTGAACTGAATAAAGATTGCTACCTCTGCAATTGCTGGAAAAATCAAGCTATTTCACAGGCGATTAAAGAATACATTTAGACACACAGTCAGCAAGCAGAATTATTTCAGAACTTCCAAGCAAGTAAACCCGGTAGGGGTCTTGTTTCTTTCGTTTAGATTATGAGCATGAATGGGTAGAGGGTTGGCATCGGTTTGTTTGCCTACTGTAATTACCAAGGGATGAAAAATTCTCTCTCCTCTCATGCACAGCTTCCACTGACTTCTAGTCACAGCTGCGTGCACATAACCGGGGCGATTTTACTTCTCTACTATAATAAAACGTAAAGAATTCCCTTGCACTTGACCAAGCCACAACAAACTTTCCAACTTTTCCATCCAGAATCTGTACTTAAACGTTTATGGCCAACTGACAATTCCACTGTTTAATTCCCTGCAAAACAGAGGCAAAATGAGATGAGAGGGGAAAGCCCCTTTGCAAATCGGGGCCACAGACAGCGCTGGAAGTCTGCTCGTGCAGGTGACAAACGTGTCACAGTGCTGCAGAAACCCACAAGAGGGCAGAGCGATCCCGGCATAGATGTGCTCTGAGCCCAGCCGTGCAAAACTTTTCCCATAAAATCCCAGATCTGCTACAAACTGCTAAGTTGAGCAAAAAATCAGCAAGACTCTTCTGGAACCTGCTGCTTCATGTCTACGTTGTCTGCAAGATCTCCACTGAGCCGACGGAAATAAATTTGATGGTTTTCACTGAACATCATGTTGAATTTGAATTATTTGAAGTATTTCATGAAACTGTTTTATGGATTCTTTGAGCTCTGAAAGCTGAAAAAAACCCCCCAGAAATAAAGACACTGGCATTTCGATCAATTTAAAATTCTTGCACACTTGGGTGTCTGAGAAACAGGACTGGCAGTGGTGCTCACCATATGTATGAGAAAATCCTACACTTTCCGTACATCGATACTTTTTTAATATTACCCAGCTGCATGCATCTGTAGCCTTGGCTGCAAATGTTATGTAAAAGCAGCTCTATGTTGTATTACTACATCCTATTAAATAAACAAAAGCGTGCATCTTGCCAGCTGCCTTCTCTCCTCCCTGCAGACAACGTTCCAGGGACACTGCCAGTTATTAGGAGTGAGGACCAAGCCGTTTTCAACTTCTGAGAGAAGTGGTGGAAATAAACAGATGGTCTCAGAGGAACTGTACCTACTTGTGCTGGAGATAGATTTGAACCCGTTTTGCTGATTTACATTTTGTTTCACACCCTGTAACAGCGTGTCTCCTGTTTCTGAACCCAAAGGGTTTAAAAGCACCCTGACATCAAAGGCAGCCCATGCGTTCACTTCAGCTATTTTCGATTGAGGACTTTGGGTACAACGTGAAGCAAATGCTGTCTTGGATACATGAAAGTGAAAGAGGACAGGATGATTTCTCAGTTTACTGGGTACTGAACTGAAGGCTGACTGAAATCTTGCTAAGTGGTCGTCTCCAAGATTGTTCATTTCAAATTCAGACATGAAATACTTATTTTTCCCTCAGTTGACCTCTGCTTTTCAGCTTATACTTGCTTTAAATTCCCTTCTGTTCTGATATACACTCAAGTAAAAAAAGTCCTTACCCTGAGCTGAGAAGGCTCAGTCTCTTTTTTTTTTTTTTTTTTTTTAGTTTATCCACATGGGATCTAAGGAGGGCAGACTTCATTGAAAGCCAAACCCCGGAGCGTAGAGCCAAAGTCAGAACTGATTCTCAATTTACTGTTCAACTAAGGAGTAACCTTGATGTCAACAGAGCTGCAGCATTACAGACACGAGAATTACCTTCCTGGTTATTACTTGGACAACATCTTCTCAGGCTGGTGACAGTTTTTACTGAGTAAGAACAAAGGAAAGACTTGAAGCCTTTACATGAGTAAAACCATCACTGAGCCCCTGCAGTGCAGTTAGCAGAAATAAAGGAATAACGACATTTCAAAAGCAAATATCACTGCATCTTTTCTATTTGCAAATAGTAATAATTTCTAATTTTAGCCCTCTACTTGCGGTGTCCAAATTAGGAACTTAAATACTCTATGAAATTTCCAGAATCTCAATCAAAGAACCTACACAGAAACCTGTTCTTCTCCACAAACTGCTGTTACATCCGAAAATACTTCTCACATTGTTGGTAGCTAATCGATGACAACATTAAAATTAGTTTGAAAAGAGTGAATAATTCATTAGCTTATTTTTTTTCCTGGTGAAGCAAACAATTTTATCAGTCCCACAGAAATTTTCCACTCCCCATGTTCCTGGCTTTTTGACTGAAGCACTCTGAACTCTTGCGTTTTTTTGACCATTCAAATAATAGAAAGTAAAACTCCTATTTAACTTCCTCTTTATGTATCCAAGTGAAATTTGAGAATTGTGTTTTCCTGGAAGACAGGGAGTTGCATAGGAGCCCAACCCCACCCTTTCTTACATCAGTGGCAGTTTACAGTGCAAAAGAAAGGCAGGACTGCACTTGATCGAGAAAGATTCGGTTCCTACTGAAGCAAAACCTCCCCAAAACACCACTGAGTGGTCAGCAAGATCAGTTGGTTGCTCTTCTCTGATCTGTGCAGGTGTATTAGCCGAGGATGGGCAATATGTTTTAAAAAGTGACATACTCTTGCTTTGGCATGGCTCTCTATCTCATCCACAGTAGATGAATGTTGGTTGCAAACTTTAATGTTGGTTTTTTCATGCATATTTTTCTCGAATTCTCGAACATCATCCATAGTCATATCTGTAAAAAGTTCAAAATTGTTGGCATTTTCCATTGATTCAGTGCAAACTTTTTTTTTTTTTTTTTTTTTTCCCCTTAAGGAGAACGTTCTAGGAACACATAGTCTGTCAGCAGAAGCCAAAAAATGATTTAAAAAAAAAGCATGGAGCAACTAGCTTTATGAAGAGCCACTCATAAAGGTAGTTATATCAGCCAAGGAAGGTGTAAGAAGGTTAAGTCAAAGGACGTCAGAGAACAGGAAGGAGTGGAAATTGTTTAGGAGTATCTGTGTAACATAAGGTAGGCAAAAAGTACCGAAGTGCAGCCCTTTGCAAAGGCCAAGATCTTCTAAAAAGATTTTAGAAGATCCCTTGGAATAAAGGATAGATACAAAAATACTATAAATATTTACTTACCTTGCCAGGCACTTTCAAAAAGGTTTTATGTTATCTTTGCAGAGTACCTCTCATAACCAGAAAACATTCTTACTGTTAGAGCACACATGAGCTTAGATTCCAGAAACCAACACTTAATTATGCTGGTGAGTTAATAGCGAATACGTTAACAGTTTTGTAGCCTCAAGCAACTTAATGAATTATAAAAATTAGAAATATATAGAAATCAGGCTGATTCCAGCAGGCTCACTTATCACTGTCTAGGCATGCCTGATGTTGTCAAACTAGTGCATGATCTGTTTGGTGCTTGCTATGTAACTCCGAGCATTATTACAGATTTTTAAAAGATTTGTCATAAACCACATTTCCAGTAAAGACATAAAGAGTCCAATTAATTGACTTGTGACCTTACTCTTCGGAGTATTCCCATGCTTTCAGTAAATCTACTTGAGAGTAAGGTGTAAGCAAACATGAAGGCTGTCAGAATTTCGGTCTGTTCTTTACAACAGTTCGATAACTTCAGCGTTTCATGAAAATAGCCATCGACCTTTTACTCCTAAAACTTAAATAGCGTTTTATTAGCACTGTACACTCGCAAATGTGTACCCCTTTTGGTAATGCACACTGTGGTTCTGTTCCTGAGGCTATCATTTCTCTGAAGGTTATTATGTGCCATTTGGATCTGTGAATTCTTACATCACACCACTCCTTGTTAGGGGATACGAGTCTCGTGCTGCATTTTGAGACAGCTTTTAAGGAAAGATATAACTTTAGCTGTTATATTAGCAGCACAATGTGACATTTCACCAGTGAAAATGAAATACAGTCTAAAATTTCGATCAGAAGGAAACATGTAGTATCACTAACTCATACTCTTTTAGTCTTTTCCTTTTACTGTTATCTGGAATGGAAAACAAGCTCACAAGCCATGTCAGTAACATGCTAAGGATGGACTTTGCCAAGCAGAGAACATGCTCTTTATTAGTAACACTGTGAAAATAGATTTTGTTAATAATAAAGCTAAATATAGTTCAGTAAATTTAATGTCAAGACACATTCATACTTACAGTATCAGTAACAGTAATCAGTCAGTAATATCCATAACATAATGTTGTTTAACAACTGATTTTATTACACCGATTATTTGATTCAGTTTAGCTGACTAACATGATCTCCAAGTCATTCTCAAATTTTTATTTTAAAAGATGGTAACAGACACATTGAAGACACACAGACGCTTTAAAAACTGCATTTTTGAAAAACTCTCCCCACACACATAAACATATCAAGAGCAGTACCACAAGAGTTCTACAGATCTTTGTAGATGTATTACACCAAACTGGATGGATGCAAATTGGATCTCACTCATTTTGGATAATGAAATACTCGGAGTCCTACCAACGGTTCAGACAAGTGGAGTGGTATAAGGGCTGCAGACAGCACAGAGTTACCTGAACTAACTTTCTGCACTTCCTTTTTTTTTAATAAATCTTGCTATATACTTACCCTTTATTCATGTCTGTTTTAGTAAGCCCAGATTTTAGGTTCTGTACTTAGCCTGACAATTAAGTTCTAAAAGTACACTGTATTATTTAGTAAAAAAACCTCACCGTGACAGTAAAAATCCACAAGATAATTGTGTATCACAATATTTCATTTATGGAAAGAGTATTTTTGACAGGGCGCATTCAGAGTTAAGATGGGAAAATCTGTGGTTAAGTGTTTTGGGACTAAACCTATTCTGTATGTTTAACTTCATGACTATTTGCTTGTTATCATTATCAATAACTCTGCTAAAGTGAAGATGACTTTGCTTCCCAGTAACATTTCTTTATGTCTTGCTTTAATGGCTACTTTGGGTAGATTTGGGGCAAGTTCGTGGGCTCAGTTTTTCATGAAGTCGGGCTTCTTTATTTAAAATCATTAGTTTCCCTGACTTTGTACAGGGAAAAGAATGGATCACTATATTCCAGGTAAAAAATGAAAAAAAAATTTCTAAAATAAAACCCCAGTATCCCTTAAGAACTCTTTCTCACTGAATACACAATTTTTTTACTAGTTTATGGCTATCCCAAAATAGAAGGTATTTTTTAGAAGATTTCACTATTTTTATGATTATCACAGCACAAGGTTCTCATGCAGTATTAAAGTTATAAGAACATTGTGATTTCAAAAGCAAATGTCCCTGTTTTTTTAAAAAAACCCAGCACAATGAGTTTGTTGTCAGATTCCAGTGTAAAATTATTCAGGTTGATGAAGTCACTGGAGCTGTGTTTGTACCAGCTGGGCTAATTGACTATTTCTAAGCAATGCAGAATGTTTCTGAGTTTTGATGAAAGACAGGTGTCATTTTTATCCATGAAATGCCCCAAATGGTGTTTCCTGAAGCTTAAGGAGGGTCTAAATAAACATTCTAAATATATTCCCAAATTTCTATTATATGTTACAGGGATGTCTTAGAAACCATTTCACAAGTTTCTATGATTATGGATACATCTTACTGAAAATACATGTAAAGAGCACAAATCCTGCAAGCTGATTTTATAAAATGTAATTGGCTGTTTTGATATTCAGATTACTCTGTACCATTGAAAGTGCCCATTCCTACAGCTGGTTCATGGATTCAGAACAGTTTTTTTCATGCAGCTGCTGTTGAATCAGACCCAGTAGGCTTTACATTTATATCCATTTTTCAGAAAGGATGTTAGAGCTCCATCTTTTCTTTATTGCAATCCATATTAACCGTTTAAAACTTTCCTAAAAAGCGAAAATTGTGTTGGGTCAGAGGCCTTAGGAGTTTGCAGTATGGAAATGACTGCATGTTAATGCAGTCTTAATGAGCAGCTTTATTCAAACCTGCATGCTGTTCTCCATATAAATGACTCTTGGCAAGGGGCAGCTTCTAGCTGCCTACAATGCAGGGGACGGGACTGATGCATACACACTGAGGTGCATGGGATGTAAAGGCGTCCCTGTATGCAGCCTACTGGCTGCCTAAAATACAGCCTGCTCTTGTTACAAAGGACCTGCTGTAAACCAGCTCCGTATGTTCCAGAGAAACTGAACGCCGTTCCATCTCTTTCATGAACGACTTACACCCCAGGACCTGATGATCCATGAAAGCAAATGGAAATCTGTTGTTAATTGTCGGAAGCGTTGCATCAGCCCTTTTAAAGGGGCTAAATTTGGAGAGTACTTACCGTACCACTCGTCAACCCAGGCAAAAGCCTGCCGGTGACCAATCAAGAGTATATCTCTGACCACCTGCAGAACAAGGAAAAGGTTAAATATCTCTGTGGCAACAAAACATTCTGGAGAAGTAACACTGGTGTCTTTCAACATGATTTAAAGTGAAAAATGTTCTGACAGTTTTGTGTCTAAAGAGACATGCCCTAGACAGTCAGACCTCCTGGCTCTGAAGATCTTGTAGTCCAACCTCCCACGTGAAGCGGATCTAGTGCCAGCACTGTAGCATGGCTTTGACTCGCATGGAAAGCCATTTGGGAACGTGTACAGAATGCATTAATCTTCAGGCAATCAGACGTTCTGGAAGTTTCCTTTTTCCTTGTTCATTTTTTAATCATGTGGAAGGTCACTACTCTATAAAATATTATCATTTGGCTGTTAATGCCATTCATTAATTAATTTTTTTAGTAGACCGATGAGAAAACTTTCCCACTGCCTGTTTGTAAGAAATTCTGCACATCATTGCGACATGTATGGCGCTCATGTATACTTGTAAATACTTCAGCTTACAGTATTGAAAATGTTATTGATAGTTTTTCTCAACCTTTAGATGTGAGCAGCTCCAGGCTTCGCCAAGTTTACACCCAGAGATGAACTCTGGCTCTGCTCCAGATCCTTCAGACCTTGAGAAAGGACTGAAAGCAGATTCGGCTGAGCTCCCTAGCTTCTACACAGCCATAGGCACATTCCTGTGCAGGGCAGTACTCAAGTTCTGCTTATGTGAAGGATAAGAAACAGCTCCTGTTTCACTGACCTTGTGTACAAATTGCTCCACTCTGGTTTGAAGTCCCCAGACTTCAAATTTCACAGTCACAAGTTTGTAGGAACACATAATTGGCTGATGGGTCTCTCTCCAGCCTTCTTTTAATTGGCCTCTCCCAGTCTTCTGTGACTTGAAATATTTAGGATCCTGAAAACCAAAGAAAATACACTGGGAAATGTAGGAGAGGAAGTCCTTTTTGTCAGTTTTGGTAAATGTTTTGGTAAGACATAAAATAGGAAAACACACTAATAAACATTATGAAAAAATAGTATGACATTGACTTAAATAAGCTCTAGAATGTACTAAAATCCCATCCTGTCTTTTATCTAACAGCCAGTGAATCGATGGCAACACATTCTTGGAGATGCTTTGACAATCCTACCATCTAGGACATGTTCTGCCATAGGAAAATATGTTCTGCAAGTCATTACAATACAATGCACTCCAAGTGTTATTTATGGCCTTTGGAAAAAATAAAAAGCCTTGCTTCTTCAGAGCTTGCTTTTCCTCTACTCCCTCAGTGTGACTTACTAGTACTCCCGACCCATGCCTGTCTTCCTGAAATCGTGTCCAACCTGAGCTTTGACACATCAACGCTGATGCGACCCTGACAATGCCATTTCAATTTTAAGTGAACTTGTATATGCAGGTGGAGAGCCAAGTATGAAACTCCTCCAATTACAACTGGGTTATGGGCTAATTATGGACCGACTAATTGCAACTCTGTCTCTCTTTTACAAGCTGGGAAATCAAATAAATTGCTGTTGAAATCACAGTAGCAAGACCAAAAAAACCAATAAGGACATTAGTTCATCTTTAAAGTTTACTTTCATCTGTGCAAGATACAGTTTTATCTATCAAAGTGCTATTTTCCATATTGGTATAATTCCATTTCACTTTATGTCCAATCCTGCTAATTACATCTTTTAAACAGAAATAATTTCTAGTTAAGCACTGATTTTTAAAGCTTGAAAACAATGTAGTTTCAGGAAATTCATAGTGGAGCTTCAAAAATCTGTCTTCAAGTGTAACCACCAGTGCTCATCTGCGCTGCCTTCCCCAAAGCTGAGATCTGGGAAGGTCTTTTAAATCCGTCCTTTGTATAAAAGCAATTAAACATGTATTTAAGTATGTGCTTAAATGACGCGTTAATGGAAGACAACCAGGAGAAAACCTCACAAAATTTTGGTAATTCTACTCTGATTTTAATTTTCTTTCATTCGATGTGAGCTTATGTATCAGTCAGCATTCCTTTTTTCTAACGTTTCCTTATCTCCCAACGTGGCTTCTGATTTTCTGAATATCCATAAACTCAAGCTCTGTCATTAAAGCTTCTTTACAAAACTCTGATGAGGTGATAGTTTTCCTTCTCTGTGAAAGTCATTGCTTTTATTGCTGACATATTCTTTTCTAAGTAGAAACTTTAAGCTCGCAGTATAATAAGGTTTCAATGTTAAATTGCTATAAAAAACAGTTCAGCGTCATCATATATCAGAGCGGCATACCACTGTATATCACAACTCACAGTCACATGCTGTCGCCAATCTTCTCACTCAGTAAAACCTGACCTCAGATTGATCTAGATATTTTCTGGTTGAAAGAGTTGTTTTATAACTGATCACTGCCTGAAGCAATCAGTATAATAATATTAATAATAAAAAGAAAAAAGTAAAAAGGGAAGAACTAAGACATAATATTCGGAAAGATGTGAAATTCTAGTAGATGGTTCCATGAATAAAGAAATTATTACAGAAAATATGATTTCAAATATTCCGGCAGAATATTCCAGTGTAAAATAAGAATTTCTAAAAAGGAAAGTCAAAGGAAAATACTTTCCTGTAGGGAAGGGTCTGCTCTTTCTTACAGACACATACGGTGCTAGTGTGATGGAGCTGTTGATTAAGCATTTCAGATACACACTTTAATAATACTGAGTATTATACTTTATACCCCTTCAGCAGTAACCAGATCTATGATGGAATAACATCAGTGCAGTCCAAAGGGATTTAATGTAATGAGTTTGAATCAGTATCAAGTATTCAGAATTTATAAATAAAAATTAAATAATGAACAGCTACCCTGCCTGACTGCTCAGTCATGCATAAAACTCGTGTCTTGTTCAAACCACGGGAGCCCTCTGGATGCCATGAAAGCAGAGATTTGCTTTCTTTTGGTGAAGTTAACCTGGCAGACGAGCAGATTCGCTGAGGAAATTATTCTGACGTTGGTGGCCCACAAATAATCCACCTACTGCAATGCAGTGCATCCGTGACTTCACTCCTGGTTGCAAATTCATTTAACAGCACCCAGAGAGGGCACTTTTTGCTTCCCTTAATCATACCCATTCTTCTTGAAGGACATGGAAGTTTAGTCAAATTGGCTGGGCAGTTTCAAGCAAAGAGCCAGGCAATGATGGACAGCACGGGCAACTTGTATCTAATAGCTTTTATGGAAATTCCTGCCTTTCTGAAAACATTAACATATTGATACTATAAAACTGTGGACTGATGAATGCAAGCCAGGAGATGGAAAGGATTCAGAGGAACAGATTTCCAGACTGGTGGATGAAGGATCAAGATGTTAAAGATTTTACTGAATGCTTGCTCAGGTGAGCTAAAACTCAAAGATTGCATATAGCCTGAGTAGGACGCAAGATGCACAGCAACATTAAGCAAAGTGAACATGAGAGTTTAATCTCTGGGCCATCAATTCAAAGGGTGTAAGTGTTTTGTAGAGGTGAGTCGTTATAAGTAAAAGTAACATCACTAGGCTTTTTGCCCAGATGTTAAAAAAAGCAGGTGTTTTAAAAAGTCTTGGGCTATTTTAGAAACACACAAATTCTGGCTCAGAAACAGCTTGTGCTCTGGTTCATATGAGGAAGTATTTAGGGGAAGAATACCTATATTTATCTCTCTATTTTGAATATATTGACACCTTTCTCAGGCCTCTGCTCTTGGCCACAGCCACAGGGAGCAATACCACATGAGAAGGACCTTTGGTGTGACCAGAACTGTTCGTCTTTTGCTCTCCAGTGTCTGATCCAAAGCTCACTGAAATCACTCAGAATTTTTTTGACATAAAAGCCACAACCCAAAATGGTTTTATGTGCCAAACTTATGGCTTCAAATTGCAAGATTAACAGCCTGGAATCCTTTCCGCAATTAGGCATATAAGGTCCTTCTTAAAAAATAAAACTAAGCCACGATGATTATTTTTCTATTAAATGCAAGTAGAAATAAGACTGGTACGCAGCACTGCTTCTCCTCCTGACTTTCATGGTGTAGCTCCCTCGTTGGGTCAGTCAGAACAAATCAGACTCATGAGCCCCGCTCACATCTCTCGGGCTCCCAGGAGGAAGCACTGAGCACCTGCCTGCACCGCACCGCGGCCGTGCCTGACTCCTCCTGTGAAAGGTACGGCACTTGGCAAAACACGAACCAGAGGCACCAGGCTGGGGGAAGCAGCCTGCTCTCCGTGGCACACGTCCTTGAAACCCTGCTGTCAGTGCCTAGACACTGGGAAAGCTGATCTTGGGCCTGACCCCATTTTTATGTTATTATTTAGAACATTAATTCCGTGTGTGCCTTATTTTTGCTCTCATCCACCCATGCCTTCCTTTCTAGAGAAGCCATCATCCAAAGAATACTGCATCTATTCACTGTTTTCCCCTTAATTTATCTACCGGCAAAATCCTCAATCTGTTTTAAATGTAATGGCACAGCTAAAATCTTTTTGTTTAAATAACCTTCTCGTCCTTTTATCAGACACAATTTATTAGGAAAGCCCATCTGGCAAATCCTTTTGCTACAGAGGAGCAAAACCTACTCTGTATTTGCAATACATTATTGCCAGGTGCAGAGTGATTTAAAAATAGCACTTCTGCTAACATAGCAGAAACATCATTACCCATGAGCTGGGCTTCTTTGAGAATAAAATGTAAAATTACAATAAAACAAAAAGCCACAGAGTGATGGATGCGGTTTCAAACACAGTACTCTCCCAGTGTTTCTTACTTAGGGCATGTATGGCGGGTCAGCGTGCTTGTTGTTGGATATTCCATTATTTAGCATTTAGCATTTATTTACTTAACCTTGGTCGTGGACTGCAGTCGTCATGGACATCAGATGTGGAACTGTAACCCTCTTTCCAGGAAGCAAACACCAACATGTTGACAATATAGCAGTGGGTTGTTGCAATGCCTTTTCATATTAATTCTGAAATGTTATTTTTTACTTAAATAATGAAATACACTCCTTGTTTACAGAAAACTTCCAGACCTGACTGAGCATGCTTGTCCTTAGCTTTGCCATGGTATCAGGCATGATTTGAATGAAGATGCCATACTATTCTGCAGCTGGCAACACTCCCTTTGTCTGTGTGCTGGAAGCCTGCATGGAACATCTTGTTAGCCTTGTCACCCATCAATCTCAAAAATTACTTGCTGCTCGTATGGCCATTTTAGCATGGAAAAAAGATTCCCAAGCTGAATACGCTCTCCTGAGGTGAAAGTCCACTGTGCTTATGCTGTGCATCCTAGTCTCTTACTGGAAGGTACTCAGATATCCCAGAAACAGATACTTCCTTCCTTCCTTTTAATCCACAGATTTGTTTTTTCAGACTCGTATCGCAATATATTCCACCACAGGCCTTTTGAAGTGCAGTCAATTTTTTTTTTTTCCCCTTTAAGCTGAAGACCATTTTGTTTGATCTTGAATTTCAGAACCAATCTTTCATGGTTTTACTACATGTGATCTGGCATTTCACCATCAGCTGTAGTTGCTAGGTTTTTGATTTCAGCTTATATAGCTAGGGCTCTGGAAAGATTTGCTGATGTAAAGATGCTACTACAGACATTTATGTGGAGTGATTTTTTAAAGACTTTTTTTTTTTTCTTTTTCTTTTTTTTGAATTTCCATTAAAATGCATTTTTTGGAAGACCCAGCTAAATACTTAAGGATTGTAAATATTGGGACAGTTCTGAGGTGTTAAAATATGATAATCCAGCCAGCTTTTATGTAAGCTCACAACCAAGGTTAGTAAGGAAAAGGAAAATTTAATGTGTTTTTGCTATGCCCTGTACAGAACTACTGTACTGACATGTTGCACACACTCACTGTGGGAGCTGAGGCAGTTGTGTTACTTCAACT